TGTGAAGAGTCACAAGTGCAAACTGCAAAAAAAAAATACAAACTGCTAAAGTCACAATATTGAGTCCTTGAACGAGTAAAGTGGGACAAAATGAATACATTTTTTTTGTATAATTAGGTGTGAACATGCAAACGTGCTTCACTGACAAAATAATAAAATAAAACTATACCAAAAATTTTATTTCAAATGTCAATCTGTCTGGCATATTCAATTGATTACTTATGTTTTTAACCAAAACGAAATCGATTTAAATACTTATTTTAGTAAAACAGCATAATTTCAAATCGGATAAAGGAGAGTTGCCTTAAAGGAGTATGCTTTATGCCATATTTTAATGCTTTATGTGAAAGAATTTTTAGCCAAGTGAACTTTATAAAAACAAAACCAAGAAATTACTATTAGAAACCACAATTAATGGGAATTTGTTGGTTAAAGAAAGACCAATAAAAAAGTTGAATTCTTGTGCTGAGTTTATATCAAATAAAACTATACCAAATGAAGCGCTTGTTGTTATCGACACAGAAGACGAGTTTCACATTGCCGATTGAGAGTGTAAAAGTTTATTTCGATTTTTTATTGATAATAAATATTTTTCAATTTTTTATTAACATTGTTTTAAACTTTTCTATCCGTTAAAAAAAACATCACCTATTTTCTCTTTACAATACTTTACGATGCTCGTAAAAACACGTCAATTTTGGAGTATTGGCCTTTCTTTCTCCTGGTTGACGTCGCTTGTTCATTATAGGTGAAAGTTGGTATTTGGTGTTATTTATACATTTTTTTAAAGAATTAGTCATAAATATACTTTCATCGAAGGTGAACTGAAACGTTAAACACCTCTTTATACCTCGATGCATCAGATTGATATAAAATATTCTCATTACATTAATAAAATGGGAAGATCTCAAATCCAAAGCAAAGAAAACGTCACAACACAATACCAAGTAGAAACTAAGACATGAGAGCAGAAAAAACAAAATCTACGTTAAAAAGAAAATTGATACTCAACCTATATAGCAGATATACCAACACAAGTCGCAGATATTGTGGCCATATACACATCCCATAGTAAAATAGGTATCTTGTAAGCTTGAGGATGTTTAAAATACAATATTTGAAGACTACCATGAAAAATTGACACAGTAGGTGAAGATAAAGCTAAAACACGCCAGGAAGATTCACAGACCAAAAAAGGACAATGGTGAAGCTGTAGACATTGACTACAATAAGCATTATTTTGCTGATAAAAAAGAATACGTTCAAGAAAACACAGTTTAATTCGTAAATTTCTTGGTGTTGTAATACATTAATGTATTGAAATTTGTATTCTGTTGAAATAGAGAGATAAATGGGAGACGATCGGCGAGTAAACGGATACAAGTTGGAACATGGAACATAAAAACCCTGACTGGGAAGGAATCGGAACTGGTGGATGAGATGGAGAAATACAGGACATAGGAAAACAAGCCAGGTATTAAAACACAAAAATATCCATAAAAAAACATACGAAGAGGAAGACAGAAGAACATAATAGACTATACAGATTACTCTAGATCCATAAGATATGCAGTACAAGATGTGAAGGTAATAAGAGGAGCAGAAACTTGGGAAGAATTTGGAAGCAAGTTAAATGAAAATTATAGGGAAAATCAGAAACAATTCTGGAACGTAGTCAAGAGGTTAAAGGGCGCTAAAGCAAAACTAATGCGGAACATCAAAAAATCAGAAAGAGGCACTACAGACGACCAGTGATAATATTAAAAACATGGAAAGCCCACTGTGAGGAAATATTTAAACAAGAGGATACAGAAGAAGAGAAGGAGAGTGAAGTGAAGGAGGAAGGTATAAAGAAAGAGCAGATAAACGAGGAAGAAGAGCGAATAGCCCTAACCGAAACACGAGACGGGAAAGCGAGGTCCCAAAGTAGTACAGTGGCTGAGGAAAATAGTCCAGCAGACATGGAATACTGAATCAATACCCCAAGAATGGGAAAAAAATATAATCGTGCCAATCTATAAGAAGGGGGAAACAACCAACTGCGATAACTACAGAGCAATCTGCTCAAAAATTCTAGAAAAACGGCTAAGAACCCAGCCAGAAGAAAAGCTCGAAGAGGAACAAACGGCGTTCCGGCCAAACAGACAAACACAGGACTACATATACACCCTCAGGACAATAATTCAAAAAACAACGGACAGGAATAAGGAAATATTTAGCCTTCCTAGACCTAAAAACATATTTCGAGCAGGTACCGACATAACATACAGTGTCCGCCAAAAAGTCAGCAACGCCCGTTTTATTTCTGTTCCATTGCATCTACATTTCTGAAATTTAGTTTATGTGGGAGGTTCACACCGACCTTTTGATCTAAAGTATTTGCAAGATGGTGGCCACTTCTGGCCCCCAGGAAGTAGACCGCAACTACGTTATTTTAAATGGAATGCTATAGTTTTTATTGCACCTTTTAATTTTGTGCGAAAAAATAAGTTGATTTTGATAAAACTTATTGGTACCTAGCGCTTTTCATTTTAAATTTTTCTTGGCAATTTTCACCAAGCCCTTTAAAACTCAAATAAATTGTGCCCTAAATTGGCACGATTACTCTTCAAATGTTGTCAAATAGATTGTCATTTGCTGTATCACAGTATGTTGTACAGGATGGTAAAAAGTGAATTACCTTTTTTCCGCATTCAATGGCAAGAAAGCGAAAATTTGAAATGGTAAGCGTCATATTTTTTAGCCCCCAGAAAGGGAATTTGCCGGGAAATGCCGGAAACCAGTTATATTTTTATTAGGACATGATATTTTGACAATTTTTCGTTTAATTTATTTTTACAATTAACTTTGATAATCTTTTAGTTCACTATCTCTTATTTACCAAAAATAACAAATAGAAGAACAAATAAATGAATCAATGAAAACAGAAATTAGGTTTGAATAAAAAATTTAATTCTCCCTCTGGTAGGTTAAAAAAATATGGGGCGTACCATATAAAATTTTCAGCTTTCTTGTCATTGAATATGGAGAAACGACAATTCAATTTTTGACCAGCATGTATAAGATACCCTGATACAACAAATGACAATCTATTTGATATCATCTGAAGAGTAATTTACCAAACAAAAACTTAAAATGAAAATAACTTGAAAACGAAAAATACCTAGCATTTTTATTTATAAATACCAGTAACATTTATCAACATATTTTCTCGCATACAATTAAAAAGTGTAATAAAAACCATAGCATTCCATTTAAAATAACGAAGTTGAGGTCTACTATAACTTACAAAAAATAAAAAATACCTACTTTAGATCGAGAGATCGGTATGAACCTCCCATATAAGCTAAATGTCAGAAACGTTGATGCAATGGAACAGAAATGAAATGAGTGTTCCCGACTTTTTGGAGGGCACTGTATATGGGAAGCTTTAAGCGAACTGGGGACAAGTCCAAAACTAAAAAGAGCAATTAAATCTATACCATAATATAATAGGAAGGGTTAGACTAAGTAAATGGAAAGACGTCAGAAGAGTCCTGAATGGAAAAGAAACAAGACAAAATAATAAAGCAAGTCAAAAGACAAACAACGCAGACGAAACTGGGGTACCACAACCTAAGCCCGATCTACACTCACGATATTGTACTAGTGTCAGGCAGAGTAGATGTTCTACAAAAAAACATCCAAATATGGAATACCTGCCTAAAAGAAAGAGGAATGGTAATAAACAAGAACAAAAGTAAGTTCCTACACATCACAAAAGAAGAAGAATGGATATTCTTACGTCAATATCTTCCGTTATTGACGTAAAAATAGAGGAGCAACGACTGGAGGTGGTAGAAAAGTACGAATATCTTGGAACTGTAATAAGTAAGGATGGAAAGATAGATCAGGAAATACGCAAAAGACCAGCAAATGCAAGTGCAGTCTACTATTAAATGAACAACACCCTCGTAGGCAAGAAGGAACTGAACACTAAAGCAAAAATAGATTTATATAAAACCATCTATATACCCACACTTAATTATGGATCAGAAACTTGGACTATGTTGGATAAGCATAAATCGAAAATAACAGCAGCAAAGATGAAGTATCACGCAAGATATTGGGGAAAACTAGAAGAGATAGGGTACGGAACAACATCAGGGAAAAACTAAGCTAAACCCCTTGGTACAGGAAATAGAGGAAAAACTAAATTGGTATCTGATTCGAATGAAAGAAGATAGGATACCTAAGAAAATGTTCAACATGAGACCAGAAGGAAAGAGAAAGCGTAGTAGACCAAGAACCCAATGGAAGGGAGAGATTGAGAAGATGATTGAAAGAAGAGATTCGCCGAAGTATGGACTATGGCCAGAGATAAGATGTATAAAAGAGAAAAAAGGAGATGATAGATGGCGCCAGTTAAACTAGACCTGTCAAAATGTGTAAAGTGGGTTGCATTATATTAAATATAAAAGAAAGAAATATATATTGAAAGAAGTTTTTATGAAAAATTAGCACGTTGCGCATTTAAAAAAACCTTTAGATTTGAAATTTCACAAATTTTCTAAATGTTAAAGTTATTTATACATATTTATCGGATATTTAAACAGATTCGCAAGTAATTCTTGGAATTTTTCACCAAAACCGATAACAAAATGTACCTTTCCTGATATTCATACATTAACATGCGATAAAAACGCTGTTTTAACACCTTCTAAAAAACGTTTAAAAAATTACCTGATCCATTACTACTAATAAAAAATTTAAACCAACTGATTGTACATGTTTAGTTAATAAGAGCAAACCCTATATTTAATACATTACCACAATTTCTTTCGCCACATTAATATTAAACAACGTTCATTAAAAATTTAATACCTATTATTCATATAGCTATTTTATTTCTACAATAACTCCACTTTTTTTATAAAAAATCATGTTATTAATAGTTTAAACTATTTATTAAAATTTAAAATGGTATTTTTGAATTTTTTACAAAATAATTTGTTACTTACATAAATCGCGGTGGCCTGGATTGAGGTTAAAACTCCAAGTAACCCTTAAATGAAGGGGTAAGTTTCTGTTTCCGAGGCGAAAAGCACAGTAAAATGGCACAAAACGACGGACGTAACACTGGTCAGTCGTAAAACCGCACCAAAACTCGGTCTTTCATTTTAATTCGAACAAATAAATCGAATGTTTTGGTTATAAATTCAAGTTATAAACATTTACGCACACACACGTACCGAATCGATGTTACATACAGCGCCTGCTCCGATGTCACTTATCCGTCGGGTCGAAGAACGAACTAAATTTTATAGTTTTATAACATTAAATATTAAAAAAAACTTTATAAAACTTCACCAAATCGAATACTTTAAATACGACGTTAAAAAAGTTTAAATTTAACTTAAACTTTTATTTGATTATTTTAATTCAAATGTACATCTAGGATTTTTTTACTTAACCATGTTGGTAACAATAAGTGTCAAATTTTTATTTATTTAAAATAAATATCTTTCTTAAAAATAAATAATATAATTTTTTTTAATAATAAATTAATTCCTTGAATTGTTATTTATAAACAATTTCTCTAACATATTTAGTAAAAATTCGATATTGCAACAGAAAAGTGAGGTTACGTCATTTTGACAGTAGTGTACGTCAGTTAACTATGGCATGTGGCCGTTCTTAAAAGCCGGATCGAAATATTAATTAACACAAATAATTAGACAGCGAAATCGTAACACGATGAATTCTGGGGACTATAAACAACAAATTCCTAGAGTTCCGGAAAGTATTAACTTTTCGGCTGAGGAAGAAAAAATTGTAACCTTATGGCAAAAATTGGATGTCTTTCAAACGTGTTTGAAACAATCTAAAGGAAAACCAAGGTAAGAAATTGTTATAATATTTTTATATTCTTATAATTTTCGTATAGATTTTCGTTTTATGATGGTCCCCCATTTGCCACCGGTTTACCACATTACGGTCATGTTTTGGCTGGAACAATTAAAGATGTGGTTACTCGTTATGCTCATCAGCAAGGTTATCATGTGGAACGTCGTTTTGGATGGGATACCCATGGTTTGCCTGTTGAGTTTGAAATCGATAACGCTTTTGGTATAAAAGGACCAGATGATGTAATGAAAATGGGAATTGGAAATTATAACAACGAGTGCCGCAAGATTGTTAGTCGTTATGCAAAAGAATGGGAGGTTATAATGACGCGATTAGGAAGGTGGATTGGTAAGAATATTCATCATAAAAACAATCTTGATAAATAACTTTTTTTGTGAAATTTAGATTTTAAAAATGATTATAAAACATTGTACCCTTGGTATATGGAATCAATATGGTGGGTTTTTAAACAGTTATATTTGAAAGGTTTGGTTTATCAAGGTAATAAAGTAATGCCTTATTCGACTGCTTGTAATACACCAATTTCAAATTTTGAATCTGGACAAAATTATAAGGATGTTGTTGATCCAGCTGTAACAGTAACTTTACCACTTTTGGATGATAAAAACACTTCTTTATTAATTTGGACAACCACACCATGGACACTACCAAGTAATTTAGCAGCTTGTGTTCATCCTTCACTAGAATATGCTAAAGTCAAACAAATCAGCACAGGAAAATTCTTTATTTTGATGGAAGCTCGTTTAGAAGCAGTTTTCCAAGCAAATGATTTTGAAATCATCGAAAAATTTCCAGGATCGAAACTTAAAGATCTAAAATACGAACCTATCTTTCCCTACTTTAAAAATCAAGAAGCAAAGGGTGCTTTTAGGGTCTTATGTGATGAATATGTCACCTCAGAATCAGGTACTGGAATTGTTCACCAAGCTGCTTATTTTGGTGAGGATGATTACCGGGTTTGTTTGGCCAATGGAGTTATAACCAGAGATCAAGAACCAATTTGTCCAATTGATCCCAGTGGGAAATTTACTAAGGTTGTTACTGATTTTGCTGGACAATATGTTAAGGATGCCGATAAGAATATTATTGCCATGTTGAAAGTTAATGGAAGATTGTTTCATGCCACACAAGTAAGTAAATTGTTGATGAAATCAATATCTATTTGTTAATGTGGAAAATATCTTTTTATTTAGTTAGATAAGTAGTAGTGTTGTTAATTCTCTGCTCTAAGCCTGTTCCAGATTTGCTCAAGATCTGCTCTAAAATAATTCAGTGCAGATTTTGTGACAAATTTTCATTTACTTTCATAATGTTTATTTATTTAATAATAAGGGCAAAGAATAGGACAAAATCATAAAGATCTGTATCATAGAAAGTAAATGACAAAGAAAAAAAGAAGCTGTCAACAAAAATATTTATAACTAAAAACAATAAATGGTTTATACTTTAAAAAGTAGAACTTAAAGAATAAGCTTAAGCAATAACAATTACAATAGTGATAATAACAAATTATATCAATATCACAAATGAGGTGTAGAATTTTGTTGAGAAACACCACATTGTTCCACACACAATGTAAATAAAGAGACAAGTAGAAAGAATACAGTAAACATGGGCAAATTATAAATTCTTATAGGTGGATCCATAATTGAATCAGTGGATTTATTTTATATATTTATAAAGCAGCTCCAAAATGAAGAGTGATTATTTATCTTTTAACTGGTAGGCGCTGGTTAACAACAAAATCTTGCTGTTAAGTTTCAATAAACTTTATTATCAAACTTAACTTAATATGTATATAAATTGTGATTAGTTATGGGAGCTGTGCTCCAGGTGTATTGTTTGTTGCTTGTTAAATTGAAGACCAATGTCTATGTGGTTTAGAGCTCCTCACAGGCTCAATACATTTCAGTACTAGACTAAATAAACGAAATAATACAAATAAAATCTAATATAAATGAAATAATATAAATAAAATCTAATATAAATGAAATAATACAATATAAAATCTAACAAAGAGTGACTTTAAGATTTGTGATGCTGACTCTGGTTAATTTTTCAATAGTAATATTGTAATCCTAATATGTAGTATTTTTCCTCCTTGAAAAAGACATAACTATATTTAGAGAGCTTTAGACATTGTTTATGCTGACGACCGTTTTGTCATGATCCCATAAACGTGGGCCATAATGACACGAATGCTCAACGACAAAATCGCGATTAATATCAAAGCGATTTTTCGTTTATCCTTTTGTTGGATTTCTACGGATTATTATTTCAAAAACATATTGGATGTATTCTCATGCTGATCAAGGTCGAGAATTAATAAATGTTCTCCGTGGGTATAGTCACACATATGTAGATCTGATGTATTTAACTGTTCTTGTAGGCCAAAACTATTATTAATCTGTAATAGATTTTAAACATGATTTTGAAATCTATTAATAAAAAGTACAAGGTATTTCGTTGTTTGTAGTAACACTCTAAACTCAATGGAAACTCAAAAAATTATAAATATCTATATAAATATCAACTGCTTTTTCTGGCCCCACAAACGTTTTAACGCTTCTCTCTCGTGCTAGCTCATCTGCCGCTTCATAATACCAATGTTCGTCAAAATAAAAAAAAGACCGTTATTACAAGTGATGAAATGAAAAAATGTATGGGAATTATACTTTCAATGGGCCATACTGTGAAGAATACTTTGAAAGATTACTGGTCAAACGATCCATTGGAAGAAATGCCTATTTTTTCAAAAGTAATGAGTAGAGATCGATTTCTGCAAATCTTATAGTTTTAGCATTTTAATGATAACTCACTTTTAAATGAAAACTCCAACAGACTTTATAAAATAGAACCAACACAAAATTATTTCACAGACAAATTTAAAACCGTTTATAAACCAAATCAACAAATTTCAACATATGAAGGTGTAATCCCATGGAGAGGAAGACTTCGTTTTAGAACTTATAATACTAAACTAATACTAAATACTAATATACAGGGTGATTCTCAACCTATACGCATAAACTTGGGGATTTATTCCTCTAGACAAATAAGGTGAAAAAAATTGTAAGAAAAGATTTTTAGTTTCATAGGTATCCTATATATGCGTCGACATCTTGATAAGGTGCTTCCTGGAAGATGGACAGGTCGAGGTAGTCCATTGGCCTGGCCATCTCGATCGCCCGACGTTAATCCTCTTGATTTTTATTATTGAGGTCACTTAAAAAACATAGTGTACGTCACTGAAGTTAATACCGAGCAAGGGTTGCGAAATCAGATACAATCAGATACTGAGGTTTAGGCGCTATCATATCATCTCCAAAGCGTATAGTCTTTGCATCCAGAAATCATCTTACACAGCAACACCAAACTATCTCATCTGTTTAGAACTGATATCATCATACTTATTTCATCTTCTGCAAAAAACTGTTTACATACATTTGAGTGTGTCGTTTGCTCATGTCTTTCTGACTGGAAGAATTGCCTGCACAAATGATGCATGGCGAAATTTAGTAACGAGATGAAGAATGACATATACGGATCACACAATATTGAGGAAAATATTGAGAGCATCAAAAAGATTCAGATAGAACTCTGGGGAAAAGAACGTCAGGTAGCCTTCCTCTGTTTCATTGATCTAACCAAAATGTTCGACAAAGTAAGGATAAAAGAAGTAGAATAGGGCAAACATTACAAAGTATGTAATCTGAACTATGGTTACACTATGAATGATTACAAAATCAAGATCGAGTGCTATGCAGATGATGTCGTCCTCTTTTCTGATACTGAGGATGGTATACAATGGTTAACGCAGGCATGTAACATTGCAGCTGAGGAAGTTAATAATGAGCAAGGATTGCGAAATCAGATACAAACTGCTGCCGAGACAATCCGCCAACAGTTTAGGCCGCGCTACTGGAACATCATCGATTCAGCGAGTCCAATTGTGTATAGAAAATATTGGAAACTACTTGGAACACTTACTTTGATGTCATTTTAAAATCTTATATGTATTCTAGATTTGAACGTAAATTTCACGTATATCTAGGAAACTAAAAAGCTTTTACTACAATTTTTTTCACCTATTACTCATTATTTGTCATGAGGAATCAATCCCCAAGTTTATGCGTCTAGGTTGAGAATCATCCTGTATAAAACTTGTTAGAATGCTTTGTGAAAGTCAAACTGGTTACATAATTAGCTTTCCAATTTACTCAGCTGAAGGGAATACCCTCGAGAATACCATATTATCTTTATTAGATCCTTGTTTAGATGTTTGGCATCATTTGTACCAAGATAACTTTTATAATAGCGTACATAGAGCAGAACGCTTTCTTACAAAAAAAGTTAGAGTTTGTGGAACTATTCGTCAAAATCGAAGCCTTCCTTTAGAATTGAGATAAATCAAGAAATTTTAAAAAAGGTGAAACTATATACAGGCGAAAAGGAGATATCTTATTACAAATATGGAAAGATAAGAGCGAAGTTCGTATGATATCCTTAATTTATGATGCCAGCAGCATGATAGTGATTGATAAAAAGACTATAGATGGAAGAAATGTTATTAAACCATCTTGAATTAACGACTATAACAAATATACACAAATAGACCTCTCATATTGCGTATTTTTTTTAATTCCTTAATAACTTGTAAGAAATTAAACAAAAATACACGTATAAGTTACAGTACTTTTCTAAAAGAAGTAGCAAGGATCTTAATTGCTTATCAGCAAATAAATGATTCTGATTCCGAGGAAACTGGTACTAATATTCAACCAACAAGAGAACTCCAAGCGTGAATCCAGAAGGCAGATTGTCAGGAAACATGAGGCAAAAACCGTGCAAAGTATGTTTTACAGCATATCACACGCTTAAAAGATACTAAACATTTTAATAAAACTACAACGCTTGAAATCCATACATTCATGTTTATTTAATTCCCCTGAAAAATGCCCGGAAACTAGCAAAGACAGATCAGATTCGACCCGTCTATTAAGTGTTAATAAAACAGAAAAAAGATTCTTCCTATCTTCGTCCTGTTTCGAGATTTCTTTATACGCACAGTTTTCCCTGTCGAGATTAAAGACAGGTGTAGGTAATAACATCTTTATTACTATTTTTTTTCAGAAGTGGGTTTGATATTTTCCTCAGTGTTTGTCTCCTATCAGTTAGAATAACCTATTAATTGCTTCCAAGTTGCAAGATATCTTCAAAAACTTTTGTACAAAATTTTGATTATGTATGTAGTCAAAAATGTTTACTTCGCATTTCTTTGGACAATTGACTGATTGGAAGCAGAGCGATTTTGGTTACAATATGTCCAATTGATACAACTTATCTATATTACTATTTTGTCCATACGATATACATTCAAGGATTACTTCCAACTGATGTATTAATTTATAATCAACATCTGTTATATTTGCCGCTATCTTTAGTTCAGGAGAGAACCTTCGTCTGGTATTCTCTTCATTGGTGTTGCCAAATCTGAGCTTGATAGGTTAATTAATAATCCCCTTTTTAAGTGTTTTTTTCACAGTCTTTTCATTTTGGCATACCAAATGTGCATATTTAGTAAAAAATACTAAGCTGTATTGAGATCGACGGAAAAGATCTGAACATACTATCGCGACTATATTGGGATCAAGCAGCATACATAACCAATGAAGGGGAACAGCCAGATGCCATAAATATCTCGCGAGGAGTAAGGCAAGGATGCGTATATTATCTCCATTATTATTCAACGTCTACTCAGAATATGTATTCAAAAAGGCTCTCGAAGATGACAATGAAGGAATATCTAAATGGAAAAAGACTGAATAATATTCGGTAACCATTGCAGCAACTGATGACTCTAGTGAAAGATGTCAGTGAGAGTTGTGATCTCGATATAAGTGTAAACAAAACAAAATGTTTGGTCATAAGCAAGAGGGAGATTACATATCAACAAATACACAAGATATTCGCTGTAGGATAGAGAAAATAAGAGCCGTATTTGCCAAAATGAACCAACTAATAAAATCAGACTCCTGCGTTGTTATATCTTTTCGGTCTTGCTGTATGGGGAGAATCATGGGCCTTGATCCAAGCTACTAACAAAAAATTGGCAACTATTGAAATTTGGCTGTATCGCAGAATGAAGAAATATGTCCAAGAATGAAGAAAGACCGACTTAACTAGCGAATTAATAATGAGAAACTACTCGCTACAAAATATATTGCAGGGGAAGATTCCTGGGAAACGTAATCAGAACCGACGGAGGAATTTTCAACGTTCTGAACGTATTACATTCAGATTTTCATTTTAGTTAAATATGGTAAATGTAATTCAAACTATTCTGTTGAATATATTAGCTGATAGCTGATATCGATGCAAAAAATCAGATTTGTTATAACCGTGTCAAACATTTTCATTAAAAACTAATTCATCAAGATAAAAATATTATTATGGTAACACATACGAAAATTGTACTTGAATTCCAGTCTTACGTAGCCAAAAAAGAACAATTTAACTATCTCATTATGAGTAGTACTTATTATACTATATTTAATAAATATCACTACAAGGATATTCTTTCCGAAATAGCAGAAAAAATCACAAAACATTAAATAAAATATGAAGAAATGGGGAAAATACAGAGTATGGTTTCCAAAGCTTATTGAAAGTAATCTACACTAAATTCTATAGTTTTTATGGGGCACTGGTACAGTAACAAAAACACCCCATAGACAAAGATTTATTGAATTAAGTGGAGTGGGTATACAAGCAATTTTCTACAATTTTTATAGAGCACTGATAAATCGACAAAACATGCAAAACGGCCACTATTTATTAATGGAAAATTAAATTAAAAAACGATGTAATTTCAAATTACTCCCATAAATAAAATTACGTTTTTATCTATTGCCGATTTATTCGATTTGGGTGAACTTTAATATGTACCAGTTACGCGATTTAAATCAAATTTTCTATTTAAACATTGTTCATGGGTATTAAGGTTTATATTTATAACAGGTTATTCGTATATCTATCTAAACTGGAATTATTATTATATAATGATTAATGATTATAAAGATTGATAAAGATAAATGTGTTCATTTTTTATGACTGCACATTGTAAAAGACACGATATTGTTAAGCTTATTTATATTAACAAGGTATGGTAAAATAAAAAAAGAACTTTTTGAGGTTCTACTCAACATACAGTGTGTCCGTAAAGTAACGGATATAGGCGATAAAATCATTATAAAACGGTTTATTGAAAAATCGCTGAAACGGTTCTAAAGATTTAAATTTTTAAACGAGTATTGGGATCTATTTTTATTACGGAATATGAAAGAGGATCTTTTTCTGAATCTAGTACACTCAATATTAATATTGGTTACATAAGAAAATTTTCGAGAAAAATTACTTTACAGGTTAACTTCTTCAAATTTGCTTTACATGATAAAAATAGCAGTAGCCATGAGTAACTATGGTAACCAATTATTTTAAACAATTTCCTAAGTGTCAAAAACTGATTTTGTAAAGCTTGTTGAAAAGGTGTCTCGCGCCATCTTGTTGGAATAACTGCCATTGGAATTCAGCTGGGACAACGTTATGATATCGTTTTGAAAAAAAATATAAAAGATATCGTTCTAAAAATCTTCCTCCAGTTAAGGTTTCCTGAAAAAGTAAGAACTCATCAGAGTGTCCCGTACTAATTCGCTCCACCATCGTTTTCGGATATTGGGTGTGCGATTTTCTTGCCCAATGTGGATTTTGGGTAGCCTAATACCGACAATTTTGTCTATTTACTTGTCCACTCCATTTTTGTGAATGTTCCTTCGGAAAAAATATGTTTTTGACAAAGTCTTCATTATCGTAGAAAAATTATTCCGTATGCAAAATATTATCGTATGCAAAAATAAATTTTTCGATAATTTTATGATTGATTTATCAAGTTGAAGGTTTCGAACATTATCATGAATTGTTTATAAATTGACAAATTGACGGAAGGTGCTAAAAAACCGTTTACAGACGAAGGGTTAATATTAAGTTGTAACGTAAGAAAAACTATGTGTTTTTTAAAAGATGGATTTGTTTATTTTTGGCTTAACCGGTTTCAATTGCTAGTTGCAATCATCTTCAGGAGCTAGCCACGTCATTAGATATTATTCTTAAAGACATAATCTATTCTATAGTAATGGTATTATCACTAATTATATTTTGGAAGTAAATGTGGGGAAGACAAGGATGATGAAGTTTTGTAAGGGTGGGAGAAAAAGAACAGAAAACTGGAGATGGGAGGGAAAGGAGATCGAGGAGGTTAGGAAGGATAACAGGGAGGGGTCGCATGTGATAGCTATGGCAAAAAAGGCGAATAAGGTGATGGGACAAGTATGGGGTTGGGGGAAGAGAGTCTTTGGAAGGAATGTGGCAGCGAGGAAGATTATGTCTGGTTAGCAGTGTGATGATGTATGGGGCAGAGGTATGGGGATGGAGGGAGCAGGGACCGCTGGAGGACGTGCAGGCTAGATATTGGAGATGGGTGCTTGGGGTGGCGAGAGAAACACCGGGGTATATAGTGAGGGAAGAGGTAAAGGTGGATAAGGTCAGGGTGGAGGCGGGCAGGAGGGCAGTGAAATATGAAGAAAGAATAGAAGGGAGGCCAAGCTGCGGGATCCTGGGGGAGTGTTGGAGGGAAATTAGAGAGGGAAAGGTCAGATATGGGAAAGGACACAGAGACAACTATTATAGACGAGCGGGCTACTCGGTACCGGAGATAAATAGTAGACGAAGGGTGGGTAGGGAGATGTGGAGGGAGTTGAGAGACAGGGACCAAGATGTGCAGAGACAGGAAAGAAGGACACAAATAAAAGAGGGAAGGTATAACGAAAGATACAGGGACATAATTACGGAGGGGCTGCCTAGATACTTGTTATTGGAAAGAGATGAGGAAGAGAAAAAGTTGGTGGCTAGGTTCCGTTGTGGAAACGAGGAGAGAGACAAATACTGGATGGCCGATGAGGAGAGGTGGTGTAGGCTGTGCAGGGAGGAATGGGAAACGTTAGAACACATGCTGAATGGATGCAGTGAGTTGAGGGAGGAGGAGATGGACCGAAGGCAGATCTTAGGAGAGGGGGGAGAGGGGAAACGATGGATGAGAATGGTGATGTGGGTGAGGAGACAAAGGGATGGGTGAGGGGATGATTGGGCCGAGGAGCCGAGGGCGTGGAAATGGAGGAAGAGGGTAGAGAGTGAAAGTAATATTTGAATAATGTAAAGAATTGTAAACAATTACTGTATACAATAAACTCTTAATAATACTAATTATATTTTGTAACCTCTGGATGTGTTATTTTTGTTGTCACTTTTTAATTGTTTGTTAATTTATTTCGACCGTTATTGTGCAAGCCATTATTGTGAGATTATGTCAGATTCTGAAAAATATTCTGTTTTAATATTCTGCAATAAAAATGGGAGATTGTCATTTGAAAAAAATATCGATGACGTCATAACTTGTTTAAAAATGGCGTAAAATCTACACCAAAAAATTGGAAAAAATTTAAATCTTTGGACCCGTTTCAGGGATTTTTCCATAAACCGTTTGTAATGATTTTATCGCCTATATCCGCTACTTTACGGACAGACTGCATAGTCCTGAGAAAATTACGAACTTAATAAAATTAAGTTTTGACCATTCTGCAATGAAGTAGTGAAAACCTTTTATTTACAACCGACGACTACCGTGGACTTTTTCCTCATGGAGTTATGGGTTGGTCTGATTCAGATCCATAAATTATTATGGTTCATTTTTGGGTAATTTTTTGTGAACCAACTTTAAAAGAGGTTCGAAACCAAATTGCTTCTTTGTCAATGAGCACCATTAAGACCAACAAGGTCCTCTTTGGAAACAGTAAGAGGGCGACAAAAAATAAAATTTTTCACGTTTGGTAACGGGACTGCCCAATATTTTTTCCATATATATCGTCACCTTACGTCTACAAAGCAGTAATTTGGATTTAACGTTGGCATGTCGTTTTTCTTTCGTGATTGTGACTACAGGCAATGTCGAAATTCTTGTTAAGATTAGTGATACCAAGTCCTCTGTCACGTTTTATCAATTTTAAAGTTTCTATGATTTAGCAACCACAAGGATACGTAATACATCAACCCCTCGCCCGTTTACTTCATCTGAATAATTGCAGATTCGTCAAAAATCTTTAAAATTTCCGATCTAAGATTATCTGGACCAGGGATCCCTCTTCATTTGTTGTATGGCAGATTGTACTTCTTCATCAGCGATGGCAGGTTCCGATTCATCCATTTCTCGTGACCCATCATATTCCAAGACACACGACCACGTCTTGGAATAATTCAGCGATCTATTTTGTTTGTCTATGATTACTTTTCTGTGATTGTAAACCAACTTACATATTGTTCTGCAGACCGGCTGTTTTAACTTTTTTATAGATATTAAAACAATCATATTTGTGCTGTAAGGCCTCTATTTCTTGATAACCAGCTATTTGGCAAATGTATTACCATTGCTTGTATTTATCATTTATATCAAATATTTCCTAACTTTTTCACATTTTGCCTTTTTTACCTTGTTTAGTAATTAGAATCAGAGGTATTTATAAGACTTTTAAGTAGCCTTTTTTTTTGCCGACGAGTTAGTGATCATATTTTGGTAGCAGGTGATAGATACTGGCGGTTTGCTGATCTTGTACAAAACGCTTTACTAATTGCAACATCTGTTAGAGATTTAGAGTTAGAGAATTAGAAACGTTAAAGAAATATTGTTAATAGTTACTTATTTTTAAAGAAAACAAAATTAGTGTTAATTCTGTAATTAATGATACATGATTTCATCCTATTAATTTATATATGTCTTGTTTTTTACAGCACAAACATAGTTACCCATTCTGTTGGAGATCTGACACTCCATTAATTTATCGCGCCATCCCATCTTGGTTTATCCGGGTGGAAGATTTTACAGAAGATCTAGTAAAAGCAACGTCAGAAACATATTGGGTGCCCGATTTTGTAAAAGAAAAGCGTTTCGGAAATTGGTTAAAAGATGCCCGGGATTGGGCGGTAAGTAGAAATCGTTACTGGGGAACACCAATTCCAATTTGGATATCACCAAGCGGCGATGAAATAGTCTGCGTCGGAAGCATAGCAGAATTAGAGGAATTAACCGGTTCGAAAGTAACCGATCTTCATCGCGAAAGTATCGATCATTTAGAGATTCCATCAAAAATTCCTGGAAATCCACCGTTAAAACGTGTTCCCGAAGTTTTTGATTGTTGGTTTGAATCGGGTTCAATGCCATACGCTCAACAACATTATCCGTTTGAAAATGTAAAATCATTCGAAGAAGCTTTCCCGGCTGATTTTATCGCCGAAGGAATTGATCAAACAAGAGGTTGGTTTTATACTTTGGTTGTTATTGGAACTTGCTTGTTTGGAGAGGCGCCATTTAAAAACTTGATTGCAAACGGATTAGTATTAGCTAGTGATGGACAAAAGATGTCAAAACGTAAAAAGAATTATCCTGATCCGATGGAAATCGTTTCTAAATATGGCGCTGATGCTTTGAGACTATATTTGATTAATTCACCGGTCGTTCGAGCAGAAAATTTACGTTTTAAAGAGGAAGGAGTTCGAGATATCATAAAAGACGTCTTTCTTCCTTGGTACAACGCTTTTCGGTTTTTGATGCAAAACATTGAATGTTACGTCCAAGATAACAAAGAATTCTTTGTTTATGACGAAAATTTCGCAAAAAGCGACAACATTATGGATCGGTGGATACTTTCGTTCACGCAATCTCTTTTAGATTATTTCCGCAAAGAAATGGCTTTGTATCATTTATACACCGTCCTTCCACGGCTTATGAAATACATAGATTATCTCACCAATTGGTATGTTCGCATGAATAGAAAGCGTCTAAAAGGTGAAGGAGGAAAAGAAGATGCCAAACAATGTTTATCAACATTATTTAACGTTTTGTATAATATCATTAAAATGATGTCGCCATTTTCACCGTTTTTATGTGAAACAATGTATCAGTATTTAAAAGAGCTTACAAATGAAAAAAGCGATAGCGTTCATTATTTAATGTTACCACAACCAGATGAGAAACTAATTGATTTAAAGATTGAAAGGGCTGTATCAAGAATGCAAAGTGTTATTGAATTGGGAAGAGTTATTCGTGATCGAAAAACAATCCCCATTAAATATCCGCTCCCGGAAGTTATTGTTGTCCATCAAAACCAAGAATATATCGATGATGTAACTTCTTTACAATCATACGTTTTATCGGAATTAAACGTTCGAAAACTAACAACTACCACTGATAAAAGTAAATATGGAATAAGTCTTCGAGCTGAACCTGACCATAAAACGTTAGGATTACGTTTAAAACAACATTTTAAAAGTGTTACTATCGCACTAAAAGCATTAACTGACGCTGAAATTAACGAAATGATTCAAAAAGGTTATCGAGATATCGACGGTCATCGAGTTGAATTAAACGAAGTTAGATTGATTTTTAAAACAGATTTATCAAGCAGTCAATATGAAGTTCACAGTGATAACGATGTTTTAGTTTTGTTGGATTGTACTCCAGATTCTTCAATGCAAGATGAAGGAACTGCGAGAGAAATAATAAATCGAGTACAGAAGTTAAGGAAGAAAGCTCATTTAGTGCCGACAGATGAAATTTGTGTTTATTACGAAGCTGAAAATGATTTATTAAGAGTTGCGGAATCTTTTAATAGTTTTATTGAAGACACTATTAAAGCTCCGATGAAAAAATTAGCAACAAAAGGAAATAAAGATGTTGAAATTATCTCTGAAACTCAATCCATAAAAGATTCTACGTTAAAAATAGTTTTAACAAAATTTTCTGATGTAGAACTTCCTTTAGTTAAATGGGTAAACATCGAAGTGGTTGGAATTCCTACAAGATATTGTAACGGGGCTACAAAAGGAACTATTCTTTTAGAGAATGGTAATGGTATCATTAAAATTGACGAGTTTAAAAAGGCCGTTTTTCGTTTATTTGCCGTGGAGGATTATAAAATTTTTTCGAAAAACGGAAAAGAAATCATTGGAAATTTAGAAAAATATTCTGGAGATGTGATTTATATTTCTAGAGAACCTGTTAAAGTTGAAAATTCAACAAATGGTATTCCTTATTGTAAGATAAGTAACATTAGAGAAGGGAAATTGAGTGGAACTATTCTTTTGGAAAATCCTAAAGGAGTTCCAACAAATGCTGAAAAGAATTTAAAAGAACTTAAAACTAAATGGCCAGTTAAATAATTATATTAAATTTTTAGAGTGGAGATTAATATTGAGTGTTCCAGTTAGTTTTATGTTGTTTTAATGATTTATCTTGATAATAAAAAATCATTTTGAATTAATTGTTTATTATTTCTATTTTTTTAATCTTATTATTATTAACTTATTATTCAAAAGCTTTTAATATAATTTTAAGGTTTGGTTAAGCAGAAACAAGTTTGTTATGTATTATGCATATTTCTGCATATATTATTAATCCTTGGAAAGGTCCTCTGATTAAGAAACACTCAGAACCAGAAACTTTCTTTCCGCGGAATGCTGTTACAAAAGATTCAAGTTTTAGTAGCTCTTTTCCTGGACTGTTCCCAATATTGGGAAAAGGTTAACATTACGCAAATCAACATTATTTAGAGAGCATTTAACAGTTTATAAACTCAGAAAGAGTACAAGATATATAAAACTCGATTGTATAAATTACCCAATCCGCTTTATAATATAGATGAGACACAACAGAAACGAATAAACTCGACTGAGTAGATGTGATATATCTAATAAGTAATGGAGCTTGTTCTCTGAGTTATTTCTAACAAAAAGTTCATGTGGACATGCGTCCGAATCACTTTATTTATTGAGCTATAAGAAATTGAAAATAAAATAATTGTATTTATTTTTAGACCATAGGTAATAACTAATAACAGTACATTATTAATTTAAAACATTTTCCAAAAATTCCAATTATCTTTCTAAAGCTCGCCTAATCCTTCATCCAACCCCACAAATTGAATTAAACAGATTGAAGTCTGAAGACCTAGCTGGCCAAAAAAGCAATAAGGATAATGCTCATTTAGGTGAGTAGGAACTATTTGGAAAAATGAGTAGGGTGAATCGTGATGCAAGTACATTCTTAACCGTCTTGCCAGAGGTATATCTCTTGGAAGTGAAACAGTTTCGTTTCAAAAGTATGAAAACTTATACTAAAAGTTTTCGGCATTAGATTGCGACGATTTGGGAAACCTAGTTGATGCTCAGCAGCACTTCCAATGCAATTACATAAAACAAACACCGTATTGGAGTGTATTGACCCCATATTTGGGTCTACAGGTTGGCAATATTTAAACACCTTTTGATATTTAATACACTAATTTATTTTAATTTAATATTACATTACTATTGCGTTCGTTAATACTATTACTATACTACGAATTCACTTCGCCCAGAATTATTGGCTGCGCATGTACTTCATTTGCGTCAATAATTGTATTGCTCAGCGTTATTGTTGCCACGGTGCAACATAACACTTCCGGTGACGAGGTGCATTGAACTTTAGTTACTACTTTTTAAACCGTATTGTATGCACAAAACAGAAAAGTAAAGTTAAGATCACAGCAGTTTATAATCTATTTTGACTTTATCACAACAACCATTAACAAGCAAGTCAAAGTTCTACTTTGTAGAAACAATCGCTAACATACACACTACCTTATATACTTTTCTATCTGTGCATATCTTTTTACTGCATTTTTAAAGCTTCGGAATACAAAACCAATTGAGTGACCATCATACAATATTGCAATATACATGTTTCGAAAAATCTGTTTCAATAATGATGGGTTTGTTGAGATTATAAAATTTGAAAATTGGGGCTGAAATTAGAAAAAAGTTTTAGTATTGATAGACTTTCCATGAACACCTGCGCATGACCAAGGTACATTATTTTTTTTATTCTTTTAGAGCGATGGTAATTTTAGACATGTTTATGTCTTTGCCATCAAATAATAATCTTAACACATCTGACTAATTGCAAAGATCTGGCATCTGCCATGTTAACTATTGCTGCGACATATTTAGAGTTTAGTTCCATTCCTAGTTTTGAATATATCTGACCCATAAACTCAATATTAGGTTTTAACTTAATTTTCAATTTGTTTATTTTTATATGATTTGAAATTTTCATCATGTTGCTGTCATACATGTGATATCGAAATTCATATAATATTTCATACAATTTTTTCTGAAAAACTTTCAATGTTAAAGATTCCAAAAGGTAAGTAACACAATTGATAACAAATGGTATACAAAAAGTACAATTCTGACGAATTCTGTTACTGGATTAAAGAGCAGGAATTACGTCTTTAACCAAACACGATAAACTACTACGAAAACAGTAAACTTTCAAATACACTAGGATATTTAATAACTAAATCATCCACCAATCTAAATTCTATTTCAACAATATCTCATCTCTTTAATTTTGAATCTGTATACACTTGTAAACTAGTGGTGAAACGGATGAAAATGACCGGATACATGATCATTTTTTAAAATCTGGTCGGATACCGGATAGTTACCAAATCTGGTTTTGGCCGGATATTAAAAACCTATTAGTACTCCACCATTCCCAGGAGTTAGTATTTTGTTTATCAGGAGACGAAAGTTGGGTGGACTAATCCGCACAACTATCCAAGATGAAGAAATTCCTTTCTTAAAGAAAGTCAAATATCTAGGCGTAATCCTAGACAAAACCCTCTCATGGAATGGATATTTGCAGTTAGTTTTACAAAAAGGTAAACTATCCTTCTGGATTTGTCGTAGTCTTTGTGGAAAAAATGTGGTGGTTAGACCTATTTATTTATTACAATTTGGGACGCAAACAGGGAGAACATTGCTTCGATGCAATCACGATAGACGGCGTACATGGGACTCCACACCACAGAACCATAGCTTAATACACTGTTTACAAATGCCATATAAAGGGACTTTATACAGGTAACATTGGTGAAAGTTCTGCTTATTCTGATAACGAACCCCAAGTTACGTAATGCTTTTTTCACCATAAGGTCGATATGAAGATGGAATCGCAGTTTGGAATCAAGAGTAATACCAAGATCCTTCACTCTGTCAGTGGACGCAACAGCTCTGCCGTTAAAGCTGTAGTGAAAGTTAACCGGATATCGTTTCCATGTAAACGTAATTTTTTGACATTTGTCGTAATTAAGATGAAGTTTGTTGACAAGACAGTAGTCATGCAAACGGTCAAGGTCTTCCTGAAGCCGTAGACAGTTGAGACTTGATGTTATATTTGTAAATATTTTATTATCATCTGCATACAGCAGGAATTTGGAAAACTTAAAGCAGGAAGCAATATCATTAATATAAATTAAAAATATTTTTGGTCCAAGATGATTGTCTTGGGGCACACCGGAAGAGATGGACTTATAACCGGATAGAAAGCTACCAACCTTGACTGCCTGACTTCTATCTGATAAATATGAATGCCCAATTGGCATTGCTCACTGGATTATAGAACAATGCCATTTGGGATGTTAAAGGAAGAGAGTTTGAACAAGAATTGTATGGTCAATCTTGTCGAAGGCTTTAGAATAATCTGTGTAAATAGCATCGACTTGAGAGTTTTAATTTAGGGTATTCTATGATCACATACGGAGCGGGAAAATTTTGTGTTTTAAATGGCCACTAGCGACACAATTACACAGTATATGTTCAGTCGTTTCTGACTAGTCGTTGCAAAGTCGACAAGTTTGATCCTCAGCTTGTCCAATGTAGAAAAGGTGGTATTTTAGGGGCGCATGGCCGGTCAGGTTACCTGAGAGTGTCCTTAGATCCCCTTTGTTGAGGCATAAAATCTCTTTGGTTTTGTTTTGCGACGGAGTTATTATACTCTTCACTTGTCTGTGACCTAGAAGTTCTTTCCAGCGTAAGGCTACCTTTGAGGCCTTCCAACAGTTGATTATTTGTTTTAGGTGGCTTTTTTATAGTCAACAACTGGGTTGGGCTCCAATGAAGGGCGTTTTCGCTACCTCTCTGGCCAGCTTGTCCTCCTCAATGTTTCTGTGACCTGGAACCCACCATAGGGTAACATCATTGCCCCTAGCGAGTTCTCTGAGGTTACTGGTATACTCTCTGATCAGCGCGGAGTCACACGTGTAGGCCTGAATTGCCTTTAGGGCGGTCCGACTGTCTGTAAAAATGTTTATGGATGCACCTTTCTGTCCCTTTTGTAAGTTCAAAGCGGTGCAGAAGTTTATAGCAAGAACTTCTGTTTGAAAAATGGTTATGTCCAAGCTGAGCGGCAATTTAATGCTGCTATTTGGACCACTAATTCTTATGCCAACTCCAGATCCAACTGTCACTTCTAAATATGACCTTATAAGGCTGGTCGAAATTGTATTTTGTCGGTATAAGGTCTGTTAAAGTTGGTTTTTTTAATGTTCTTATATCGTTATTATATTTTTATTGACAATTAATAATTAATAATATTCTATTGTTTTTTGTACTTGTTTTACATAAACAGCTTCTAAAACATAAATGCCATCTTGATTGCGATTGCTTCATAGATAAATATAACATTTCAACAAAACACAACAACAAAATTTAACCATTAAGTAAATGGTTACCTTGTTGCTTCATAAGTAATTAGAATTACTAACTTATATTGCAATAATTAACAGCTTATTTAGCTTGGTCACAAAAGAATCAAGTGGTAGACTTTCTTTTCATATTATGCTATTAAAATTGAATCATAAATATTTTTTTAATGCATATTAAAACAAATTGTTTTGTTATATTATTTGACTTTTTATTCTCCTCTGCACTAAACGTGAAACAATTGTATAGTTCCAATCCATCCTCACCTATTACATTTAGAAAGATTACTTTTTTCCTTTCTTTTGGATTATCTAAGAATAAGTCCAGTTTTCAACTATATTATCATCATTTAGAAGCGGTTTTAGAGTTCTAAAGAAGTTCTCCATATTACTACTCACAACCTGATACTGTGTATAACATAATTAAACAAAATATTGCGTATAAAATCGCTTTATTTATAACTTTACCATATTTGTACATCCTCATTCTGATAGTTTCTAATATTAAGTTATTTTTAGGCAACCCAACTTACACCATACAACTTTTAAAAGCATTTTTAACTGATTAATAAATCCTTCTGTATTGTAGTAATTAAATTTTTCAATAACAAAAAAGAAAAGGATTTATTTCCAAGTAATTAAAATAATTTAATAAGAACTTTTTATCTTTATGGCTATACAAAATTTTAGATTAACCTAACCTTGTTTGCATAACCTTTTTCCTGATAAATGATTATATTATAAAATTATCAAAAAGTTATAATTACTCCACTCGGATTCATTCCAAAATTATTAATTTTTACATTATCTTTTTAAATAAACTTTAAAGATATAAAAACAAAAAAAAAATAGATATCTATCTCCCCACCGGAAAAAGCGCCATATTGGATTTTATAAGACTTTGGATTGTGTAATTTTGACAGCCGACCACTTCGATCGTTTTTCGTGAACTGCGTTTTTGTCGCATTATCAGTTAAAGGTAAGAAAGGATTAAAATTACAACGTACGTCGAATAAAGATAAAAATATTGATAAACATGACGATCGATAATCCTTCTATAAATAATTTGGTATCAATTTTTAGATGTCGGGAGCTGTTAGTAGGGCGGCAAGACCCGAGATGAGACGTCTCTTGCACAACCAGATTAAAAAGAACTTGATTGTCTCGATTGGATTGTGTGTGGTGGCTGGAGTAGGTCAATATTTCCTTATTAATGCCCCTGCGAAGGAACGATACGTAAAGTTTTTTTCGTAAGATGATTTTACATATTAATAAAACAATGATGATATATTTTTATATATTTTAGGACGTATAACATTGAAGCGGAATTTAACCGCATGAAAAACTTGGGTTTATTCGATTCATGTGGCCCTAGCGATTAGGATTATTAAGAAAAGGTGTTTGTAGTGTAAATTGGTTAATATTTCAATAAATTATAAATAGATAATCTTATTTATTGGACTTTTTATTTCATTTGGGAAAGTTTTGTATGGAAATTTTTGTTGTGTAGGTTATATAATAGATGTGTAAATATGGAAGAAAACAAAATGACAGTTGACCTAACCTATAAAGATTGCACAATAGGTTAGAAAAACGTCAAAAATAACAAAACGGCCGATTAGTTGTTATTAATTATAAATAAGAATTTTTAATAATTTTGATTAATAAACGCGATTAATTTAACGTAAATGAGGTTTTGTTGAAAAATTGAAAACTTTGAAATAAATTTAAATTGACCGTGATGCATTGCGTGAGTGCGAACTGCGCATGTCCAACGCGCACCTCGAATGGCGTCGAGTTGTTATTGTTGAAAGAGTATAAACTATTTCCAATAAGATTATGTTCGTTTTTAATATATTTTCGACGAAAGTTATATGTAACGCATATCAGGGGACGTAGCGCGTAGGGGTCAGTAGTGATTTAAATGAAAAAAAACTGTGTGCTGTAAAGTTTTAAGTGTGTCACATAGAATGGGGTATGTAGTTTCGTTGCCGTAAGCAAATCAATTCGGTCGGGATCAGTGGTGTTGCAGTGGTCGCGTGGCCAAAAATGAATACCGTGCGGTTGACGGTGCGGTCGCAAAAGTTAAGAGTTTCGACGCAAGGTAGTTCGCCCCACGTAATTTTGACAATGGAACACATGGATTTACACTCCCCCGTCTGATAATACAAAATGGCTGCTACCCAACCATCTTTTCTTGTATCAGATTTTGATTTGTTTCGCGGTTTTCTATCGAGAATGGTGCCCCGCGATTCGAAACTCGACCCGCGACCGCACTAGAATCATCCCCTAACAACAAAACGCGCCACTTCCGCCCCCACACCCGCGAAACTTTAACTTGTTTATAATTGCCACTTCTTTTGCTTCAATTGCAATGTGTTATTTCAGAGTGAAAATAATGTAACAGGACCTCCTGCGATCATGGAGTATCCAACCAAGTACAAATGACCCTATGGTAAGTCTAATTACATTCGATTATTATTAATCATTCAAATATTATATTGTTTATATTGTTAACTTCTAGATACAATCTAAAATCTATGTAGACACAGGTAAAACCCAACAAAAATTTTAATATCTACGAAACTGACTCGATCCGATATAATTTGGGGAGATATACAGGTATCATTTCGACATACAAGAACCATTTTTTATTATTACATTTCATTCTAAGCAAATCAAAAATTATTTGTTTCAAGAAAAAGAGTGGAAATGAACAAATCTTTAATTACAGGAGTAATACAATAAATTTTTAGAAGTATTTTGACAAGTAAACATAACATAACCTTAATTTAAGTTGATGAGTAATTATACTCTATGGGTTTGTTTTTTTTTTTCAGGTTAAGATGTCGCATTTGCCAAATTTATATGAAATTTACTTAAAAATGAAGAAATTTTCCTCTGCCCTTGAAAGAAATAATTTTTGATATCACAATTTTGATTAATATTCATTGAAAAAGTTTTGTTATAAACAATATCATCACAATTTTTAATATTAAATCTTTTTTATGGGTGTATTCAATTTAAGTAGTTGTGGTCAGATTTACTTCTTACTAATTCTTAGTAAATCATAATCTTTTTAGTATAAACATTCTCAGAATATTTTTTAATTGTAGCATTGTGTAATGTTATCAATAATAATCCTATGATTTTATTTGGACTGTTTCTTCAAAAAAGGGTTGATATACATACTTATTTTTCCAATTCTATTCTTCTTTAATGTTAAATATCTTTGAATCTACTAAGTATTGAAATCAAAGTTAATAAGGAAAGTTGCACAGTTTTACATGCTCTATCCTATCACATGCACCTAATAAAAGGTTTGTGGTGAAAGTCGTCTTTATTTTTGTATAATGAATAATTATAATAGTCAAAGAACTGAAGTCATTTACATACTTTAACAACAACTTCTTGCAAAACTAAGATATCTCAACCCATTCCAGAGATACTTGCCCTGGGAGTTTTAAATGAAACACCCTGTATATTTGCAGACAATCCATCACACTGTTCACCTCACATCGTTTGGCAGGTCTAAAACTTTTTCATCAGGTTGTATATACTTAGCTCTAGCCAGGTGATTCTAAAATATTTCACAATTTGGATCAGATGCTCTTTAACTTTAGTTACTTCAAGGTTTTTGCAAAGTACTTTATCTTGCACGCATGCGCAAATGACGGATTCTTTCTAGTATTCTTGCACTTGCAGATGATAGGTTTCAACATGATATATTTGTTGCACTTGCGCTGATAGTATGGTTAGTTTTTTAGTTACTTTTTGTATTGCCAACTGTAACTATAACGACATAACGTGTTTTGTTGGTTTGTTTGTGTACATGTGCCTCAATCTTTCAAAAAATATGTCTTGGCAGTATTGATTACAACTGGAATATTGCAGTTAAAAGTTATCAAATGTAAAGCCAATCGCGCCAGATATTGCCTCAATAACACCTTGCATGCAAGAAAAATTGCTTACTGTAAAGTGGTCTTTACATTACAATTATATTTTGCTTTACAAGATGAAATTATTCCACAAGCGATTTTTGTTAAGTAATCGTTTGCATGAAGGTTATCAGATTATTTCATATAAGAATGCGTTCCCATCTTCAGTAGTTATTATGGCACACAGTATAGGGTCGTTACATAAGTACAGTGATGACGTCGGGTACGATAATTAATTAACACACTGTATATTAAATCAACTGATATGTTTACGTTACATTCAAAAAGATTTCCAAAACACTTTATTTTTTCTTCCTCATAAATTTCTTCTTAAAATCTCGTGGAAATTGAGAAGAGGGTTTGTTTTTTTGCAGGTTATGATGTCGCATTTGCCAAATTTATATGAAAATTATGAAATTTACTTAAAATATGAAGAAATTTTCCTCTGCCCTTGAAAGAAATAATTTTTGATATCACGATTTTTAAAGCGTTTTAATTAATATTGAAAAAGTTTTTTTTATAAACAATATCATCACGATTTTTAATATTAAATCCTTTTTATGGATGTATTCCGTTTAAGTAGTTGTGGTCAGATTTAAATTGGTACTTCTTAGAATTAGTACTTCTTACAAATTCTTAGTAAATCATAATCTTTTTAGTATAAACATTCTCAGAATGTTTTTTAATTGTTGCATTGTGTAATGTTATCAATAAGAATCCTATGATTTTATTTGGAATGTTTCTTCAAAAAAGGGCCGATATACATTTTTATTTTTTCAATTCTATTCTTCCTTAATGTTAAATATCTTCGAATCTACTAAGTATTGAAATCAAAGTTAATAAGGAAAGTTGCACAGTTTTACATGCTCTGTCCTATCACATGCTCCTAATAAAAAGTTTGTGATGAAACTCATCTTTATTTTTGTATAATGGATAATTATAATACTCAAAGAACTAAAGTCATTTACGTACTTTAACAACAACTTCTTACAAAACTAAGATATCTCAACCCATTCCAGAGATACTTGGCCTGGGAGTTTTAAATGAAACACCCTGTATATTTGCAGACAATCCATCATACTGTTCCACCTCACATTGCTTGGCAGATCTAAACCTTTTTCATCAGGTTGTATATACTTAGCTCTAGCCAGGTGATTCTAAAATATTTCACAATTTGGATCAGATGCTCTTTGACTTTAGTTATTTCAAGGTTTTTGCAAAGTACTTTATCTTCCACGCATGCGCAAATGACGCGTTCTTTTTGATATTCTTGCACTTGCAGATGATAGGTTTGGACTTATATTTCTTGCACTTGCGCTGAAAGCATGGTGAGTTTTTTAGTTACTTTTTGTGTTGGCAACTGTAAAATATAATGGCATAACGTGTTTTGTTGGTTTGTTTGTGTACATGAGACTCAATCTTTCAAAAAATATGTCTTGGCAGTATTGATTACAACTGGAATATTGCAGTTAAAAGTTACCAAATGTAAAGCTAATCGCGCTAGATATTGCCGCAATAACACCTTGCATGCAAGAAAAATTGCTTACTGTAAAGTGATCTTTACATTACAATTATATTTTGCTTTACAAGATGAAATTATTCCACAAGAGATTTTTGTTAAGTAATCGTCTATATGGAGGTTATCAGATTATTGCATATAAGAATGCGTTCCCATCTTCAGTAGTTATTATGGCACACAGTATAGGGCCGTTACATATGTAAGTACAGTGATGACGTCGGGTACGATAATTAATTAATACACTGTATATTAGACCAACCATCAACTGATATGTTTACGTTACATTCAAAAAGATTTTCAAAACACTTTATTTTTTATTCCTCATAAATTTCTTCTAAAAATCTCGTGGAAATTGAGAAGAGGGTTTGTTTTTTTGCAGGTTATGATGTCGCATTTGCCAAATTTATATGAAAATTATGAAATTTACTTAAAATATGAAGAAATTTTCCTCTGCCCTTGAAAGAAATAATTTTTGATATCACGATTTTTAAAGCGTTTTAATTAATATTGAAAAAGTTTTTTTTATAAACAATATCATCACGATTTTTAATATTAAATCCTTTTTATGGATGTATTCCGTTTAAGTAGTTGTGGTCAGATTTAAATTGGTACTTCTTAGAATTAGTACTTCTTACAAATTCTTAGTAAATCATAATCTTTTTAGTATAAACATTCTCAGAATGTTTTTTAATTGTTGCATTGTGTAATGTTATCAATAAGAATCCTATGATTTTATTTGGAATGTTTCTTCAAAAAAGGGCCGATATACATTTTTATTTTTTCAATTCTATTCTTCCTTAATGTTAAATATCTTCGAATCTACTAAGTATTGAAATCAAAGTTAATAAGGAAAGTTGCACAGTTTTACATGCTCTGTCCTATCACATGCTCCTAATAAAAAGTTTGTGATGAAACTCATCTTTATTTTTGTATAATGGATAATTATAATACTCAAAGAACTAAAGTCATTTACGTACTTTAACAACAACTTCTTACAAAACTAAGATATCTCAACCCATTCCAGAGATACTTGGCCTGGGAGTTTTAAATGAAACACCCTGTATATTTGCAGACAATCCATCATACTGTTCCACCTCACATTGCTTGGCAGATCTAAAACTTTTTCATCAGGTTGTATATACTTAGCTCTAGCCAGGTGATTCTAAAATATTTCACAATTTGGATCAGATGATCTTTGACTTTAGTTACTTAAAGGTTTTTGCAAAGTACTTTATCTTGCACGCATGCGCAAATGACGTGTTCTTTCTGGTATTCTTGCAATTGCAGATGATAGGTTTGAACATGATAGATTTCTTGCACTTGCGCTGATAGTATGGTTAGTTTTTAGTTACTTTTTGTATTGCCAACTATAAACTATAACGACATAACGTGTTTTGTTGGTTTGTTTGTGTACATGTGCCTCAATCTTTCAAAAAATATGTCTTGGCAGTATTGATTACAACTGGAATATTGCAGTTAAAAGTTACCAAATGTAAAGCTAATCGCGCTAGATATTGCCGCAATAACACCTTGCATGCAAGAAAAATTGCTTACTGTAAAGTGATCTTTACATTACAATTATATTTTGCTTTACAAGATGAAATTATTCCACAAGAGATTTTTGTTAAGTAATCGTCTATATGGAGGTTATCAGATTATTGCATATAAGAATGCGTTCCCATCTTCAGTAGTTATTATGGCACACAGTATAGGGCCGTTACATATGTAAGTACAGTGATGACGTCGGGTACGATAATTAATTAATACACTGTATATTAGACCAACCATCAACTGATATGTTTACGTTACATTCAAAAAGATTTTCAAAACACTTTATTTTTTATTCCTCATAAATTTCTTCTAAAAATCTCGTGGAAATTGAGAAGAGGGTTTGTTTTTTTGCAGGTTATGATGTCGCATTTGCCAAATTTATATGAAAATTATGAAATTTACTTAAAATATGAAGAAATTTTCCTCTGCCCTTGAAAGAAATAATTT